TGTAGGGTCTAGGCCCGAAACGTCAGCCTTCCTGCTCCTCTGATGCTGCTTGGCCTGCTGTGTTCATCCAGCTCTACACCTTGTTATCTCAGATTGTCCAGCATCTGCAGTTCCTACTATCTCTGATACTAAATGACTTCTTCGCCACCCTGTCTACCGGCACCCCTAGGTCCCTTTGTTCAGCAACACTCCCCAGGGCACTACCATTAAGTTTGAGTCCTGCCCTGATTTGCCTTACCAAAATGCAAACACCTCATTTATCCAAATTAAACTTCGTTTGCCACTCCTCTGCTCATCAGCCCATCTAATCAAGGTCCCGTCATACTCAGATAGTTTTCTTCACTGTCCACTACACCACCAGTTTTGGTGTCACCTGCAAAGTTACTAACGAGACATCCTATATTCACATTCAAATCATTTATATAAATGATGAAAAGCAAGGGATTCAACACCAATCCTTACGGCACACCACAGATCACTCTTGTGGCCACAGTGTTTATATGTCTAGTCCAGTTGAGTTTCTGGTCAATAGTAAACTCTATTATGTTGACAGTAGCAATTCAGCAACAGTAAAGTCATTGAATATCAATGGCCTAGAATTTGTATGGCATGAATGCTACTTGCCACCTAACAAAGCCAAGCCCTGCGATGTTGTTCAGGTCTTGCTGCAATTGAACAGACTGTTTTGGTATCCGAGTAGTAACAAATGGTAATGAACATTGCACCATAATTCGCAAACATGCTTATTGTTAACCATATTAAAAAGGGAAGGTCACTGACTTCATCCAGAGCGTGAGTGTAATATTCTAGGCAGAAGGATTTGATGCCCATTACGGCAGATGGTTAAATTTGAATTCAATAAAATCTAGGATCTAAATCTAAATCTAATGGCAACCATTCACTGATGTCATTTTAGGGAATAAATCTGTCATCCTTGTGGGGTCTGGCCTACATGCAATTCCAGACACACACCAACATAGTTGATTCAATGATTCTATGACTCAATGCCTCAAAATGGCCTAGCGAGCCACTCAGTTCAACTGCAACTAGGGATGGGCAACAAATGATGGCCTTGAAAGCAATGCTCACATCCTATACAAGAGAAAACTGATGAATGGAACTAGAACACTAGGTCCTGTCCATGTTATGCTGATTACACTATTCCTTGATGAACTTGTCATGATGTCCGTTGCCTAAGATGACTGACTCCTGACAATCACAATCACGTTCCTCGATGCTGAGTAACACTCAAACCAGCAGAATGCCATTGACTCCAGTTTAGCTAGGGCTCCTTGATAACAGACTTTGGTAAATGTAGCCACCCTCCCTTCCCTCGGGTTTAGTTCTTTTGTTCACGTCTGGGTCAAGCATGAATGAGGTTAGAAGCAGAGTGGGCCTGCAAGAACCCAAACTTAGCAGGTTAATGTCAAGCAATTGTCATGATGGCAGAAGACAACACATTCAGGGTCCATGATCAAGATTAGTCTGGTGGGATAGTAGTTATCTGACAGAATTTATCCTGCCTTTTGTAAATGGACATACCCGAATAAATCTGTCACTGCCAGATAGATACCAATGAGATAAACTATACTGAAACAGTTTGAATCGGGGCATGGTGAATTATGGAGCACACATCTTTAGTTCTTTTGCTGGGGATTTCAGGAGGGAAGCAAGAAGGATCAGCCATTTGGCACTTATGTCTGAAATGCTTCAGTCTTACCTTCTGAACTAATGTTTTGGGGTTCCCAATTATTGAGGATGGGGATGTTTGTGAAGGTCCCAACTCATTAGTTATTTAATTCCAATCATGACTACACATGGCAGAACTGCAGAGCTTAGACCTGTTCTGCTGGTTTGGGAACACTTAGCCTTGTCTACTCCATGCTGCTTACAACTTGGTATGCAAGTGATCCTGAACCGTAGTTGATGCTTCAAATTTTAGTTATAGTTGGTGCTGTTCCTGGCACGCCATCCTGCACTTCCCATTAAACCAGGGCTCCTGGCCTAATGGTAGTGGTACAATGGGAGATAGGCCAGATCATTAGGTTGCAAATTGTGCTGATTGCCCACAGCACCTAATGAAATGGTCCAGACTTGAGTTGCAAGAATCTGTTTGAAATAGCGTGGTAGTCAATACTCCTAATACATCTGCTGCAGGCGAGGACATGGTCAAGTAGATTTCTCTCTCATTGGTTCCTTCTCCATTTGCCGTAGACCCAGTGTGACCAAATCAGCAGAAGGCATGGAGGGCTTATTAAGTTTGCATGTTCATATACCCATCAGTAAGGATATGAATATTGACAAGGATATTATATAGCAAGGAGACAACAGAATTTAAATAATGCTGAAGTTGGTATGGGATGTAGCTCTGCTACAGGTGTTACACCTCACTGAGGTACTGCACTTTAAAATCAGAGTCTGCTATTCCCAGAGTCATCACAAGAGTCGATGCAGTTAAAAGGTTCACAAAATTTCTTAAATTTGTCTTCTTAGGCCCAGGTTGACAGAAAGCTGGGCCACGTTTCGCTGCTTAATAGTTACTATCTATGACAAATAGATTTTAAGTAACTAGGAGGTGTATTCTAACCGCCTACAAACACATGCAGATACAGAAACAAATAAAATAATTGGGCTTACTGGGGGGAGAGAAAAACTGGAAGGCAGTTCAAATGGTTCGTCTCTACAGGGTTCACTGAGATGATTCTTTTGGGATGCAAGGACCTGCTGCTCCTCAAATCAGTCTTCTCCAAGTACTTTCACTTGCTTTCAGGAGGCAGAGTGACTTTCAATTGCAAATTATAACATCTCTAAACTATGGGTTAAAAGCCACAGCTTACAGCAATTGGCAAGGAAATTAATCTGGTTTTCTTCAGGCATCCTTCACTGAAGAGAAAAAGACAGCACTTAGCTTTCTGGAGGTTGGAGGGTTTCTGCCCATCTCATTCACATCCACAAGCTGTTCAGCTACTTGGGAGCCAACTACATAGTTGCTGCCAGGCAGAAGGCCAACTGTCATTGCCAGCTGATCACCACTCCACAAACCAATCAGCTGCTTGTTGCCAGCCAAATTTGCTTCCGTACACAAACCAGTGCCAGTTTGTCTGCAACTAAAACAACTCCCCATACTGCTTAAACAAAACAACAGTATAAATAAGTGCTTTTAAGTACAGTAATCCCTTTCACAATCCTTGATTTTAAGAGCAGTCCTTTTCCCATTTCAGCTCACAATCAAAAATATAGTCTTCATAAAAGTTGGACAAGGAAACCACAAAAGAAGTTTATACTGGAACTGGCAAAGATATAATTGACTATTTCAACAGCAATGACATAATGGTAGTGATTGAAGCAGAGATTTGGACTTATAGTGTCTATCATGATTTCTTAACTTCCCAAAAGTATTTTAAAGCCAAGTACTTCTGAAGTGGAAGCAGTGCTGTCATGTAAAAACCACAATAGTTAATTTGTGCTTAGACAACTTCTACAAACATCAGTGGTAACTGCCAGATAGTGTTTTTTTTGTGATGTTGCTTGTTGGACAAAATGGTAGCACACAAGCAATAACTTCTCGGTGATGCAAGTCGTGACATATTTTACATCCACCCAACAGACAGAGCCCTAGTTTAACATCACACCTGAAATATTATTCAAATTTAAACACATTGAATAATCAGGCAACAGAACACAACAGTAGAATGCAAGATTAAGGGAAACTGAACATCTTACTTGCAGAGATCAAGAGGGCAGTACGCAAACTAGAAGCAGGAGTCAAACAATCATGAAACTCTTGGGATGTACCCCTTGTGGCCATAGGCAGAAAAAATCACGGCAGGAATCGCAGAAATTACGTTGCAACAAGGAGAGAATGAAAGTATAGATTCACAGAAATGCATCAGCAGAGGTTTAGAAAGCGCCATACACAATGAACTTGATAGACCGAGTTCCTTTCTTCTCTGCCAGAAATAACTAGCTCATCTTGGTTTCAGTCAAGAGACTCTCAGAACTGATTTTACCAAAGGGCTGATAGGTCCATTTGAGGATGAAAACCAAAAGGACTTATTGCGATCATTTGTGGAGGAGGATCTGTTCTGAGTAGTCTTTCAGCTAAGCTTAGTCACACTTGCCATCTAAGAATTACCCTGAAAGAACTGATTGAGCATTTAACCAAATAAAGAAACTGGAGTACATCATCCCCTTTATCTATCCTCAGTTCTTCTTCTCCAATTATTAAATCTCAAGTACCATGAGCATATTGATCCCCATAAATTATTGAGATCATGATGTAAAAACTGTAGTCACTCAGCCTCGGCAGTGTGGTCTTAAAGCCCAATCAATTGCTTTCAATTTGCACTTAATCCTTATTCATCGCTTGCTCCTGTTTGAATTGTGCAGCCTGAAATTTGGAAAAGGGCAGCATGTGATACCTTATTGAAGTATGAATCCCAAATTGTTTAGTGCTCATAATCTGTGATTGAAACAAATTTAACAGGAATAAGGTAACTTTTCATCTTTGGCAGCAGATAAGAATCTTAAGTTGCTTAGACCAATAAATCCTGATTTGGTCAGATTTAAAAATGTGTCCATTATGACAGAAAAACAGTACAGAAAGCCCTTTCCAAACATCCACAAAATCTGGACAGACCAGCAAATGAAGCAACATGTTAACAGGAGCAAAAGATTCAAGTTTTAAGAGTAGATGAGCATATCCTAAAGAGTAAAAAAAGTGAATGTTAAGACTACACGTAATATACTAATCACCTCAATCAGATGTTTTTATAAAAACCTCACCCAAAGACAGTGGCCTAGAGATTTTGTGATCAAAGCAAAGATGCTCTGAACTTACTGCAAAAGAAAGTTTGGTGAGACATCTTAAATTCCGCAGCAAGAACTTTCACACGGCTTGATTAGTTGCAGTGTTGTTTAACAGGAATACAGAGTCAAGTTCAAGTGATGTCATCAGCTATGCAAGCAGCAATTCACATTGAGGAATGTTCAAACAGCCAACTAGGATATCAAAAGCACTTTTTTTTTTTTAAATTGATTAGAACACACAACAAAGATTGAGACAAACACGGGGGGGATAAATTTGGAAGCTGAAACACCATGAACAAACTTTAATTTCAATTATTTAAATCTAGATCTGGAATCATTTAACATCATTCTACAAATGCAAAATTATTTTTGTGATCAAATTGGCTGTTCAGCAGCAGTTATTACCAACAAAAATCCAGTTGCTTCATTGAACAAAGGAGGGTTTTGCCAGATTGCTGGCTCTGATGAGACAGCAGGACCACAGCGCTGCCTGTAGCAAAGCAATGAACGACAGACTGCAAGTTCAGGATTTTCACATTAATCTGCAGTAGATCTTGAAACTGGGATCACAATCCACCATCAAAAACCCTGCAAATTCAGAGCATTTATCATTGCTTTGAATCTGCCTAAAAGCAAGAGAATGGAGGATGCTGAACAGATTAAAGAATTCATTCAACTGAGCATTAGACCCAGAGTGCAACTGAGTTTCTGCAGAAAATACTAAATGACAATGTCGTTTATCTCAATTTCTGATCAATCTTACTCGGTTGTTCTGGACCTAGTGGGTGCGACTACCCATTTGTCAAGTGAATACTGCCAGCAGGGCTTTTATGTTAGGGATGCTCTCCTCTGGCCTGATTGAAAAGGTGGAGAATGTAAAGGAATGCAAGAAGTGTTAGCCTTTAGTACAATGCACATTGTCAAGTGACAGAAACTGAAACCAGCACTGACAGATCTGTACAATCATTAAGACCAGTGGATGTATTGACAGTAAATTTAATCACATACTTTGTTCTGAAATTCTGCAAGGATTCTCTCAAGATAGCAATCTCAGCTTTCTCATTCCAAGTGCACAATTAATAACTTCATAAATATCTGACAATTGGCCATCTCCCTTGACCTTAAGCTGCACTTCAGATTCTCCTTTCCATGATCCTAAACACATCTAAATTGAGACCTACCCTTTGGCCATAATTTTAAAAATTTCATCTTTTTCCACATCCCCACAACTCCAAACCACAATTTGCTTGGAATATTTATGATAAATTAAAATGATAATTATACAATAGGCACAGGACAGTTTCATGAATTAAATCAGTTGTTTTCAGTAATGTATGCATCTTTTAAATCACACATATGCACACTATTTGGAATATTTGATTGCAGTTACAGTAGACCAGCTATTTCTCATACTTATATTCCCAAAAGGAAATACCCACAACTAGCAATCTTTTATTTATTCATAAGTTGTTTTAAAATTTTTTCACTGAATGCAAGCTTGTAATTCGGACCAACAGTTTAAGCAATAGATAATACATATGCTTCTTTAGAAATACTGCTTGTCAAGTACTTTCTGCACTGCAAATGTGATCTTCCGAACTCCTAAGCACTCATAAATCAAACTGCAGAACTGATGGGTCATGCAGATTCTGCCAGTCTACTCTGTGCACACATTCATCAGGAGAAGTATTACTCACTCAAGATAAAAAACCTGATGCCATAATGAGCCCCTGTGAACCAATAAACAGCTCCATTGACAATGCCTGTCTGTTCCACTCCATTCTGTCACAGATTCATCACTAGCTCTTGGAAGCTAACATGCAATAAATCATACTCTCATTCACCACAGGCTATTTTCTTTAAACTAAGATCTTACTAAAAATTACGCTAAGAGTAATGGAGTGACTTCATGGTCACTTAGTAGATAATACAGTAAGAATAGGGTGCTTAAGGTGAGCAGTTGACTACACAAAATTTACCTATATTACAATGCATGCATTATAAACTACTAGATTCAAACCTTAGCTAGAATTATTTGGTCAAAACAAAAAACCATTAAAATGTAACCCCATATGGGTAACATTGTTTATTCCACTAAGAATGTCAACTTATTTTCCACAATACTAAACCACATTTAAAAATGTTCTACCTGGAAATGGAAAATAATATAACTGCATATCAGCAAAGGGAAGTACATAATCTACTTAAAATGACAATGACTATACTTTACGCTGGAGTGGAGCCTGTTCCTTTAATGCTTTAGGTACAACCCCCTTCTTCATTAATGGTCTTGCATCAAAAGCATTATCTTAAAGCGAGTTGGTCAGACTACGCATTTTGAAGTATTTTTTAAAATTTCTCAAATTCAAGAATTTTCCCCTCGATTACAAATTTATTCAAGCAAGGGATACAGGATTTTCTTATTCCCAAACAGAATTAGGTAAGTACCTCTGGAAAATGCTGCTCTTTGTTTATATTTGAGTATGCGTTTTATACTCCAGTTTTTTTTATTAATTTAAGCACTTACCAACAAAGTAAAACAAAATGAATATGATACTAGCCGAAATCACTTTATGCAGGAACAGAAAGTCAGCCATTTTGCCTTGGCAGCCTATTCGGACATTCAATTTGGTTACAGATAATCTGTTTTCTTATAACCTGCACCTTGCCTCAAACTTTAAACCTAGCCATGCAAATGTGCAATTCTGGGTTAAGAAATTTTCAATAGACCCAAGTTCAGTTTTCTGGGAAAGAGTTTCATGACTTCCACCACCCCTTATGTGAAAGAATACTTTCTGGCATCAATTTAACCATGCTCAATCACATCACCCCTTCATGTTTTATATTCAAGTGAATACAAGTCAACATAGTGATTTACAATTGTCAATATAGTTACCCAATCCTACTCTATACCCCAAAAGATACAGCTAACATTGTGAATAATGGAAATAGCTTTACAGAAACATGTAATTGTACCTTTATTTGCAATCAATTTGAGTATTATGTCATAAACAATATTAATGCATACCCTTTCAGGCTGTGCAAATGTTCCAGCATTGCAAGGTGTTCTAGGATCCCACAGCTTGACAGTTTGATCCCAACTTCCCGTCACCATTACATTCACTTCAGGGCAGTATTCAACACAACGAATTGAAGCATCATGTGAACCCACAATTGATTCTACAAAAAAGATAATATAAAAAAAATTTAGATTTCGTTTAAAGGGAAAAAGCTGGTTATTTATCTTTCATAGGAGAGAAGTGGGACTTCTTTATTGTCATTATAACTATCAGTGTGAAGGTCTGGGGATACATCCTTCAAAGACCAAGCAAGTCTAAGATGGGTCGTCCACGTATTCCATCTCAGGTTACATTGGGACCAAGGTATCCATCTGAAGTGCAGGAAATATTGACTTTTCATAAAATGTTTTCACTATCTTGAGGTCCTGGATATTAAAAATGTTCACAATTCATCCAGCCATGCACTGAGCAAATGAAAACCACATGACTTAAAGGTCACATCATCAACTAGAACAAAGCAGCGAGCCAGAACTATAAATGGTGAACATAATGTAAAGATATGGACTTCAAGGTTGCCAACTTGGCCACAAACAGAAGATTGGAATCTCGCTAGTCTATACGTTCATGGCGTAAAGCATTCCTCCGATGTTATTTAGATTAGAGAATAATCAAATCTATTTAAAAATAACGAACATTTGTGTCCCTAGCCCACTTCAGTGACATCAATAATAAGGAGCGACTACAGTGTAAACCAGAGGCAGGAGTGGAAAGAGGTCCAAACCAATCCAAGGGCCATTCTGGGATTACCCTCCTCCAAAACACAGTCCTCAAATCAATTGATATAATAACTCTACTCCATAGACCCAATCTTCCAAATGTTTGCAATGCAACCCATCTTTGACATACCGGTTTTGAGCTGTAGTTATATATTAATAGAACAGCAAAATCATGCCTCAATTTTACTTTTTCTTCATCGTTATAGGAATGTGCCTTGCATTTTATCATTCTTCAGCAGTTTTACAATCAACATAGGAGACATTAAAGAAATTTGGCCATTAAGCAGTAAAACATTACATCTTAATCTTTAAAAATCTGCTTTTACAAGTTATGAAAATGGATATTTCTCAACCTTTCAATACAAAAAGAATGTCCATCATAAGGTCACCAAGGATATCTCAACAAACAATGTACGCTTCTAAACTGCAACTAGAATCAGTGGATACCAAATTCTAAATCAGATAGTAGAAGGAACACCAGAGGAGTTTAAAATTATGAAGGATTCAGAACATGGAAATATAAACTGGCTTCACAATAGTTGAGGAGTCCAGAACAATGGAATAAAACTGAGCAAATGTGAGCTAGTAAGAAAAACAAAAATAATTTCATAGAAGATTGAGAAACTGCACAATGTGTGATTAGTTAGTTATTAAAACTGAAGAAATGTCAATATTTAAGACTAGGTTAGATAGGTGCTTGAAGGAAAGAAAAATAAAGCGATAATGGACAGACTGAGCAAATAATTAGACCTACTGTTAGTAGGATAACACTAGCATGGGCTGTTTAGGGCAAATAGAAATTAGAACAAAACATTAGGCTATATTAAAAAGAAACAACAGGAGATACTTTTAGTTTTGTTTGTTTAACAATCTGTCAAACTTGTTCGACTATTGAAAGTCAGAGTCATGCAGCAGGGAAACAGACCCTTCTGTCCAACTCACCCATGCCAGTTTTCCTAAACTAAAAGAGTCCCACTTGCCTGCGTTTAACCTATATCCCTCCAAACCTTTCCTATTCATGTACCTGTCCAAATGTCTTTTGGAATGTACCTACATCTACCACTTCCTCTGGCAGTTCATTCCACATACAAATCACCCTCTGAAAAAGTTGCCCCTTGGGTCCCTTTTAAATATTTCTCCTCACCTTAAAAATATGCCCCCTAGTTTTGATCTCCCCATCCTAAGGAAAATACTTTTGCTATTCACTTTATCTATGTCCCTCATGATTTTATAAACCTCTAAGGTCACCTCTCAACCTCCTACGCTCCAGTGAAAACGGTTTCGGCCTATACAGTCTCTCCTTATGATTCAAACCCACCAGTACCAGCAACATCCTGGTAAATCTTTTCTGAACCTTCTCCAATTTAATATCCTTCCTGTACCAGAGCAACCAGAACTACACACAGTACTCCAACAGTGGCCTCACAAGCATCCTGTACAACTTCAACATGATGTCCTAACTCCGATACTCAATGCTCTGAGCAATGAAGGCAAGCACGCTCAATGCCTTCTTAACCACTGTCTATCTGTGATGCAACTTTCAAAGAAACATGTGTCTGAACCCCTTGGTGTCATTGAGGGTCCTACCATTAACTGTATAAGTTCTGCCCTTGTTCGTTTTACCAAAATGCAACAACTTGCTTTTATTTAAATTAAACTCCATTTGCCATTCCCCAACCCATTGGCCCAATTGATCAAGACTCTTTGTAATGTTGGATAACCTTTTTCACTGTCCACTATACTATTAATTTTGGTACCATCTGCAAACTAACCATTCCTCCTAAATTCTCATCCAAACAGTTTATACAAATCACAAACAAAAGTGGACCCAACACCGCTGGTCACAGGCCTCCAGTCCAAAAAAAACAACCTTTCATCACCATTTCTCCTAGTGTCAAGAGAATTTGTATCCAATTGGCAAGTTTTCCCTGAATCCCATGTGATCAAACTTTACTAATCAGTCTATCATGCAGAACCTTGTCAACGGCTTTACTAGAAAGTCAGCCAGTCTTAACTTGAAAGCATAATTTGTACAAAAAAAATGCTATTCAAGAACACCATGCAACTCCTTAACAGCATATTTATTATAAACATTTCTCACCCTGGTCGGTATTTAAATCACGCATTTTCAGTGAAAGGTCCAACCCGCCACTCCATGAATGAGTTGGATCCTATTTACAGGGGTAGAGGGGATGAAGGTGTTGAGAAAAATTAAACACTGTTAGTGCACAACTTAACTTGATACTTTGATGAAACAAATATCGATCCCATGTTCACCAAATAGAAACATTTATGTTTACTCTTTTTCAAAAATTGTCCTGCACTTTTAAAAACGTCTCAAAAGAAACACACTTTTTCATCTCTAGACGAAATAAAATGACCATAAGTGATTACAATCTGCATTTCACCCTTCAAAATTAAAATTTTCTGTAACTTATAAAGGGATTAATGCCAACAAACACAATAACTTATTGAAATGGTATGTCAAGTACAACGATATTCCACTGTTTGTCTACAAGCATAAAAGTTTAAGCTATTAAAGTTTGCAGTTTCAACACTTTCCATCCCAAGTTAGAGGGTAGGATTTAGGCCACAAGGCCAGAGTCTCAGAATAAAGAGCTGATTATTTACAGCTCAGATGATGAGTACTTTCTTAACTGAAAGGGTTGTGAATCTTTGAAATTCTTTAGAGAAATTAAGGAATATGGGGACTATGCAGCAAGGAAGGGTTGAGAATTAAGTTTGGCAGAACAGGCTCATTTGTTTTTTAAACATTCTCTCAAATTGACCATGCCTGTATTGTACTTTATGAAAACTATGTGCATAACCCTTAAGGTTACCAAAAAGAAAGTTTGTCAATCTGCTGACAGAAATGTGGAGATCAATAGGGACAAACAATGCAGTTAAATAACTGCAGAAGGATCGAGATTAGTTTTGCTATTGCAAACAGCAAATCATATTTCGTATTGATAAATGTAAATGTTCTGCACAGCTATTTTAGTCATTTTTCAGTACATATTCTTGATCTATAACATATGATGATCAGAATAAGAGCTGAATTAATACTTACAATGTGCTGGCATTGGATCCACACTTAAATATCAGCAAAAATGCAAATACAGCAGACCACAAATACTCAAATTATACCAAACTCTCGACAGCATTCGTGAGACCCCCATAAAAATATTGCACATAATTCTAGTAACTTTATAAACAGTGGAAGTCATGCAGTTTCTCTTCAGGAGAGTAAACACACATTGTGTAGCTGTCATGAGTGGTGAGGCGTCTCCTAGGTTAAACGGTTAAAAACAAAAAACTGTTAAGAGAGATGGTAATGAATGCCCTCATACCAGAAGAATAATGAATGCTCTGGAGAGAAAGTAACCTAATGTGACAAGATAAAGGAAAACACACAAAGAAACAAAAAAAAGGAAAATTAAAGGAATAAGAAAACAAGAATAAATTAGAAAGCAGAGGAATTAAAATAAGTTTATCAAACAGGGAGCTTTCAGTTTAAAAGTATAATGCAAAAAAAAATTAAACTGTGGTACTCAAGATACGCTCAATTGCTTTATGGAGTATGGTATATTAATAGAAATGGCTTAGGTTCAGGCTGATGTTGAAGATATTTGACAGTGAACTCAAACTGGCAATATTATACAGCTACCCAAGATAGATATCCATGTTGCTAGCAGATAAAACATTTTTCAAACATTCTAGGTAATCAAAATTCAGCAGCAAAATAAATCCCTTCTTACATGAAAAGCACAGTCCAGGACAGCTGCTGAATGCTGGTACTTGAGGCGCATGTTATTCGATGTGATATCATACAAACGGACAGTACAATCCCAGGATGATACCAATAGGAACTGAGAGGTGTTCGGACTGAACTTAATGGCAGAAATCCCATCTTCAGGGCACTGGTTCAGTTTGAATTCATTTGATCCAGTCATCTGGAAAAAAGCAACATAATATTTCAGCAATGTCAGTTCTAATTATTAAATTTAAAACTAAGATCAAAGAAACAGTGGAGAGGATTGATTTGTTACAACCATCAATAACGATCACTACTGGTTTAATGTAAATATCACTTAGTACTTTGAGGGAAAGCAAGGACAAGGTAAGCAATTTCTTTAGTCAATAAACCAGAGCTTTGTGTTCTCTCTGATTACGGTATCAACTACAACAACTACAGCTATCTTTACCTTAAAGATGAAGACTTGGTAATGGGAAAGTTAATTTCAGTAACAAGAACGACCAGAAGAGTAAAATGGGTCGTCTTTGTTCCAGAAATACAAGCCAAATGCAGGCAACTGGAACTAGCTTAGTCGACATGGACGAATTGGACTGAAGGGTCTGACTCCTTGCTGTATAACTCTAATTTCATAATGGGCTTTATAAAAATTGTCTCCTTCACATACTAACCAAACAGCGCCAGAACACAACTGAAAATAAAAGCTGAATCATCCTTAATGTATAATAAATCAAATGAAAGGAAAGATGAAATTGTCAATATCTTGTGAAAATACACAATATATGCACCACGCATATCTGCTGAATGCAGTTGTTTTAATAGCATTAACCTAGTCAAATATCTATAACTTTAGACCTCAGGATACCCAAGCACACAGCAATATCAATTGTCTCCATGTCAAACATCAGCAACACTATGAACTTGAGTTAATGTTGAGTTAATGGCCAACTTCTGCACTGAAAATTCTTAGTAATCAATCCTGTCCAACAGGCTATTCAGGCAAACCATTCAGACAAAAGTGGATAAAATGCAACATACTTTGTTCTTCAAGCTACATTAAAAGTCTTTAGATCTTTTTAGATTTGCTCTGGAAGCAAATATCATTGTATATTAAAGTGCCTGTGCTGTGTTTTGTCACACAGTGACAGTATTTAAAACTGGTAACATGACAGTGGCAGCAAATCATAATGGAGCAATAGGTACTAAAATAGTAGTAACTGAATATATAACCCTAAAAACACAAAAGCAATTTCCTGATTAAACATATAAACTGGTCTTAACTATAAATATATACAATTTTTAAAGATAGGCTTCATGGTCATCAGCAAACATGACCCCGAGTTGCATACTTGCCATTTAACTCTCCAGTTCCCTGGGTTGCTCCATACCTGGCCAACTACACTGTTGCAATAAAGTTCAATGTAAACTTAAGGGACATAATCTTTTCATCAGGTTTTTTTTTTTTTTTAAACAAGGTTTGAGCCTTGACCACTGCTCCCCTTCTCTCTTCGACACCAGTTGGTGGCTAGAGAGGATAACTGTATCCGAGTTGTGGGGCTGGATGAATGCATGTACTCCTATTGATGCACAGTTGTGGGATGGTGTGCTTTTCAGCTCTGCCTACCTTTCTAAGGTCAGGCAAGTATCTCCATCCTGGTAGATGCTGATATTTTTATGCCCCTCAACTATTATGTTTTTAAGTTTCATCGTTTCTTTCTACAGTAGCACCATTATTGACTCCTTCTGCCAGGGATCTTTGCCCCTTTCATAACTTAGTTACATAAGGAGTGCTGTGATTAGTATATAATTTCTGCTCATCTTAACAATGTTGTGAAGAGCTTTTTTATTGTGTTGGAGCAATTTAGTATAATACACAAGTGCAATATTAGGCTAAACCAAAGGCATTTCATTGCCTAGCCTGCATCCTGCTGTAAAACACAAGTGAAAATATCTAATTACAATAAATCTTTCAAAATGTTTCAGGTATAAGAATAATAGGGTTTATAACATTAGAGGATTTAAACTTTCCGAACATGGACTGGACTGCCACAGTTTTAAGGGCTTGGATGGAGAGAAATTGGTTAAGTTCGTACAAAAACATTTTCTTATTCAGTATGTGGACGTACCCACTACAGGAGCAAAACTTGACCTTTGCTTGGGAAATAAAGCAGGGCAAGTGACAAAAAGTGTCAGTGGGGAAGCACTCTGGGGCTAGTAGTCATAATTCTCACAGTTTTAAAATGTCATCGAAAAGGAGAGACCTGATCTAAAAGTTAAAATACAAAAGGACTAAGGCAATTTTGACAGCATTAGGCAAGAACTTTCAAAAGTTGATTGGGGGAGGCTATTCACAGGTAAAGGGATAGTTGGAAAGTGGAAGGCCTTTTAAAATGAGATAAGAGTTCAGGGACAGTATGTTCCTGTTAGTGTAAAGGGGAAGGCTGGTTGGTGCAGGGAATGCTGGTTGACTAGTGAAATTGAGGCTCTGGCATATGTCAGGTATAGCCAGCTGGGACTGAGTGACTCCCAACAGGAGTATAAGGGAAGAAAGAATATGCTTAAAGGGGAATCAGGAGGGCAATAAAGGGAACAGGAGATAGGTTTGGCAAATAGGGTTAGGGAGAATCCAAAGAGATTCTACAAATACGTTAGGGAAACAGTAACTAGCGAGAGAACAGGGCACCTTAAAAATCAACAAGGCCACCTATGTGGAACCAAAAGAGATGGGTGAGATACTAAACGAGCATTTGCATTAGTATTTACTGTGGAGAAGGATATGGAGGCTAGAGAACTTCAGAAAATAAAGAGTGACATCATGAAAAGTTTCCATATTACAGAGGATGAAATAGTGCTGGATGTTTTAAAACACATAAAAGGTAGATAAATCCCTGGGACCTAGTTATGTGTATCCCAGAGCTTTGCGGGATGCTGGGGAAGTGATTGTTAGGTCCCTTGCTGAGAAATTTGTATCATCAATAGCCATGGGTGAGGTGCTGAAAGACTGGAGGGTGGTTAACGTGGTGCCATTATTCAAGAAAGGTGGTAAGGAAAAACCAGGGAACTGTAGACCAGTGAGCCTGATGTCAGTGGTGGGTAAGTTGTTGGATGGGATTCTGAGGGATAGGATTTATATGTATTTGGAAAGACAAGGACTGATTAGGGATAGTCATCAGGGCTTTGTGTGTGGGAAATCATGTCTCACTAACTTGATAGAGTTTTTGAAGTGACAAGGTTCTACTTGGTAGACTGGCTAACAAGGTTAGAACACATGGAATCCAAGGGGAGCAAGCCAATTGGATACAAAATTGGCTTGAAGGTGGGAAACAGAAGGCAGTGCTAGAGGATTATTTTTCAGCCTGGAGGCCTGTGATTAGTCACTCGGAGATAGCAAGAACTGCAGATGCTGGAGTCAGAGTCAATAGCTTGGAACTGGAGAAACACAGCAAGTCAAGCAACATCAGAGGAGTTGGAAAGTCGACATTTCTGGTCAGGACCCTTCGTCAGGACTGGGGAGGGAGAAGAGAGTTGGGGAATAAATAGAAGGGATGGTGATAGGTGGATGCAGGTAGGGGGTAGTGGGGATTGGTCAATGGGAAGGTTGGGGCGTTTGGTGGGAAAGCTGATGGACAGGTTGTGTCAGGTCAAGGAGGTGGGGACGAGAGGGAGGGTTGGACATGGAATGAGGCCAGAGTGGGCAGATTTTGAAACTGGTGAATTCGATGTTCAGGCCATCAAGCTATAGGCTCCTGAGGCAAAATGAGGTGTCATTCCTCCAATTGGTGCACGGCTTCATTGTAGCACCAGAGGCAATCCAGTATGGACATGTCATCAAGAGTGGGAGGGGAAGTTAAAAATGGTTGGCAATCGGAAGGTGTTGCTGGTTATAGCACATACAGCGCAGATGCTCCGCCAATCTGTCACCAAGTCTGCGCTTGGTCTCACCACCCCACCAACTTCCACATCCAACACATCATCATCCGCCACTTCCACCACCTGCAACCTGACCCCAAAGAGATATTTCTCTTCCCACCCGTATCTACCTTTTGCAGGAACTGCACACTCCAGAAGCCTATCTACTCTAAATTCCTGCAGATACTACAATAATATCTGGCATAAGTTATAAGCACAATATCCTGTTCATCACTAAGCAAAGTATTTGACATAACCTGCCATAAATACCATTTGAAATATTATCTATTATAATCTACTATTGAAACACACACGGTGTTATTACCTGTTCCAATGCATTGTTAGACATACAATATACCACGTAACACTGATAGTCTTATTACATGCCACAAGTTCTACTCGGTGACCACCTCCACCCTTACTAGCCTATGTAGTCTTTAAGGGACAACGCATCCAATTTAAATCCCTCATTTCCCCTTTCAAATTTCTTCATAAACTCTCATCTTCTCTTCAAACTCACACACACCCCCGTCCAAAGTTTGCATTTTCCCCCACCGTAGCAAATTGAGTATTTCTCCCTTCCATAAGGAATGGCCTTTCAACAACAAAAAAGTTGAACTTCATTAAAAATAATTCTCCCACTTACAAATACAGTATGTTGCAGCAGACAGTCAAGCTGACAAAGGGTCTGGGCCCGAAACGTCAGCTTTCCTGCTCGGCCTGCTGTGTTCATCCAGCTCTACACCTTGTTATCAAAGAGGACATGTTATTTCCTAAAAGGACATGTCTTCAGAACAAAATAATGGTATCCCTTGTTTCTCTTCTGCCACCAACACCATTTTGATTATGGGCAGTTAGCATCTCTGGCTGTCAGTGTTACAAGAGAAACAAGGGGTGAACTACCATTATTAAGACATACTAACACTTCTATTTATGCAGTTTAATAACTACATAGTAGCGACGGAATTAGCCATACAATCGTCAGAGTGGTTGAATAAACTTTAAACATGAGGGGATAAAACTGACGAAGGGAACAGCTGTTTGCAAAAGGCCTCAATATTTGGAAACTAAAACTGAACTATATCCGACCAATAAGATGGCCGCCGTGTCAAAGTGACATGAACGCCGGCGCTCAGCCTCAGACTGAATCCCCAAAACCCAAATGTCCTTCGTTTCGCCGGCTGCCAACCTGACGGAAACGAGATAGCGACGTAACGCCGCACTCACTGCCCGCGACGCCAGAAACTCCTGGCGAACAGACACGGAAACTGAGCCGCAGGCGTCAGCTGCGGCCTAGCGGCGATGGCGCCGGCCTCCAGCACAACCAACGCTAGGGATATGATAGGGCAGCACGAGGCCGACCAGACAGCCCGCACTGAGTGAATAACCGGCCTGAAACTTCTCGTTTCCCGTCACCTACCTTCTCGTCCTCTCTATTTTGAACTTAAACTCCAACTGCCGTTGATTTCACTCGGATTGTTCCAGAAGGCACTACCACCGTACCCGTCGCCGCCGTTCACAATTCTTTCTCCTGATTGGCCGGTTTGAAGACGGCGTCAGGTCACGTGACGTTCCCTTGTTCCCGTTTCTTCCTCAAAGCTGCAATATCTCAACTTCAACTTGAACCCGGAGTGTGGTAACATTGAAATATAAGGACGTTTTCGTTTACAAGGAAGGAAAGTGCGATGAAGGAACCATAAATTAAAAACGATATTGTTGGTTTTCTTTAGGATAAACTGTGCAATCTCGTGATGTGCAGCAACTTTGGAGAAATGCAACAGTTCAAATACTTTGTAAACGTAGCATTCATAAAAACACAATACTAATGTCGATGTTAAAATATTGTAAATCATTACATTAAACGATCATGGTTTATTTTTTCGATCACGAAGGAAGTCACTCTTACTGTTTTAATGGGACTGCAATACTGTAACGTGTATGGATAGAGATGATATTGAGGATATCAGTAGTATATAGCATGCAAACATAATAGATGAATGTTGCCTTCCTGCGTTGTTATCCAGACATTTAATACCATGAACTAATGTACACTTATTATCAATGCATGTTGTTAAAACTTATTGACGTTCTTCATAAAGTAGACATATATATTTGAATTGCTGTGGTTAACATTCAATACCTGTACTTCATTCTTTTCTATAATTCATTTTTTTTTTGTTTTATGTTGAAAACCAATGTATTTGTAGTACCTGTTGTTATTGCTGTAAAAGTAAGTGCCTCCAAGTCAAAAATGATCCAAGGAATTAATACAAATGAAGATTTTGGAATTGTTTTCAGTTGGTCAAAATGGTTTTCTTGATGAAACACGTCCATTCCACAATTCAAAGTATTGTTTAAACTTGCCACAGTTGAGGATTGTATCAGTTCTGTTTGAATATTCTTGTTTAAATGCCAACAATGCTACATAAAGATGTTTTAACATACTGTGTTAAAGTCGAGTTTGATTCTCGTGAAAACCTCACTTTCCGTTTGTACTCATGCACATACATAAGTACAGAGTACGTTATATTGCGTAGTACTATACAATGGAAAATTTGAAATTATCATAACCTTCCTGCTGCCACGCATCATATTGAGGAGATGTTACTATTTTTAAAATAATTTGTTTAATGAAAATAATAGATCACACACTGCTTTTTTTCTGACAGATTGGCGTATGCTCTATGTTTTCGGAAACTGTAAATTCGCTGTCTTATGTTCTACACTATTGTTCAAATGTCTTGACTGCTTTGTTATGCAACATGTTTATAACAATAACATTAAAAATCCATATGCACTTTCCAAATACAAGAACAGCTTATGTTATTTCAATTAAAATTCAATTGAGTAAAAATATAACCGAAATACCATGTTTCATAAAGAGGGTAAAAAAATCAATAGAAAAAAATGGGTTTTTTTTATTAAAATGTAATAGAAGCACAATGATCTTTGGCGAACATACTCCTATAATCTTAAGAACGGGTAATTAAATGATAAACGATAAATATTATCGTAATTTGTTTTATGCTGATAGATAATAGATTTCTTGCAAAAAGGTGTGGAGTTTCAAACTGGCCTAAGCATCACATTAACGAATCATATGTTGATCAGCAATTTCAACAATTGTTGAAAATAATAATTATTCATTTTAGAAACTTATCAGTAATGTAAAATGCCTATTTTCACCAAGGAGAAATGTGAATATATGTGGTGCATGACCGTAATAAAAATACACATAAACCACGTGAAAATTACTCCTCCGGATATTCTTAATTATTTGTTGCATCCAAAATGTATTAATGTGTCTAAATTATTATAATAAATATATTAAATTTAAATTTTAAGAGACGCACAACGCTAATTTGTCTATGATAAATGTAATTTTCTGTCACGCCATAGTTAGTTCAAAAATTCAATCTTTGCCCTTTTCTATTATTTAAGATTGTCATTCTGTTGCCGTGAACAATGAAATACGGTTTAACATTTTTGAAACTGAGTTTAATAGAGCGAAAAGATGCCTTTATAAATTATTTAAATTAAAAAACATTGCCTCTCAAAATTTTAAGTGAACATCCTAAATTAATCTTACCTTTACCCAATATATTATTCTGAACATTCTAACCTCAACTTATTCCTTATACTAAAGGTACTGAATTTAAGAGTAAGCAAATTATCTGAAGTATCCATTATTGTACGTCGTTATTGCATTATTACTTCTAGGTTTCAGTTTTTTATGTTATTTTCGTCATACAAATTATATGATTGGAAAGTACTGCTGGTGAAAATTCGGAACTATAATCTGTCGCTCAGGAACTTTCAGGCTCAGCTAAGACACATACAGGTTACTTTGTAAATACAACGTTCTGGTAACCGTGCACACAACATTCTGATATATGTTTTCTCTGTTTCAGATTTTCAATGTATTAATACACTGCATCCTTAATTGTATCTGACAATTAATAAACATTTGTCTGAGTTTCCTGTCGTAAATAACATTATGTCAGATTTTTTTCGGTGAGTGAACTAGTAACTCTCAGTGTGTAAAAAAAAACAAATGCATGTATATTTTTTCTCCTGTGTCATTGTTGCTTATTAATTGCCCCTTGTCAAAAATGCTATTATCTCAAAATGAATTCCTATCAGGAAAGTCCATTAATACCATCAGATCGGAAGGATATCGGATGGTTTCCTGTCAGACACGAAGAAATGTTCTTAAAATCCACACTGTAATGTTTTCTTCATGTGTGTTTTTCATATTCTGATCGTTATATTCATATTAACATTTTTATCATAATGCAATTTTAAGAAGTGTCTTATTTTCAAATAAAAACTGCAAATAATCCATATATACACTGTATATTTAATACAATTTATAGAGAAGCACATTGTCTTTATAATTATGCAAGTGGCTGCATATAAGAAAGATATATTTTAAACAGATACGGATATTATATAAATATACAATTTAATTGTTAAACAGTTATAAAGATACGTGGAGCAGAAAATGTCAGTATTCGATTTTGTTGTAGAGATTGTAGAAGGGAAGAGCTGTAAGGTTGTTGCCTGGGTAGTACAAAGGAGCTGGGAATGCAATTGATCTGGGGACTGGAACCCTCAAAAGAGAATTGTCTCTGAAAACGAGAGGCATTCCGACCAGAGTCTGCGCTGACGCGTGGGCCATGTTGGCTGCCTCGAGTTCTGCTGAGAGCTGTCGCTTCCACTTGTTCCTGCGGTTCTGGAACCAGGTTTTGACCTGGGTCTCTGTGAGCTGGAGGCTGGTGGCGAGGCAGGCTCTTTCCGAGCTGCTAAGGTAACGCTTCATGTCGAAGGTGGATTCTAGTTGGTAAACTTGGCTGCGAGAGAAAACCGTGCGAGTCTTCTTCTTGGTCGGATTCCCTTGTCTGTCTCCCTCTCTTTGTCTGTCTGTTGATGTCTGCGTGCAATTTTTCTCTTTTTCTTCCTTGAAAACCTGACCATCTTGCGACAGGTACTGCTGCTGCCTTCTCTCCGCACTTTCCTGCCCAGCGGTGCCAACTCCTTTAGTATTACCTAAAAATCAAAAAAAAGGCATGTCTCAGAAATATTCTTTGTATTCCTCGTCTTTTCGCTAAAACTGTACCTCTAGAAGAAAAGAAAATTCACTCGCATTGTCTATGCGGCCAGAATAACGCACTGATACACAATCCTCCTTCATTTTAAATTCTCCTTCGTTCTGGAGTGTATAACATGCGTCACTGCCTGGAAACCTCACATGAGAAACTCCCTTTAAGTATAGTTAAAATTATACATGGTGTCAAAAAAGAATGAACTTTATTTGACACTTCATGATGAGAAAATGCATTTTCTAACTCTCTGGCTATCTATACAATTAATTAGCAAAGAACCCCAAACATGTCCCACCTGTATTTACTGTCATAATCTTGCAAAATGCCGCTGCTTGGCTCGGTTAGTCTGGCGTTGTAAACGCTCAGCTAAATATGACCACTAAGCTCATTGCCTAATTTCTATTGTAATATACTGTGCTGAATTTGATTTCAATAAATAGTCGCGTATATATGTTATTATCCAGAGTCAATATGTTGTGAATGATGGAAGAAACAGAATTGCTGTTGTCGTCTCTTACCTGGGTTCCAGTCACAAAGTAACTATTAAACCTCATTCCTTGTATTCTGTTTACTGAATAACCATGTTATTTTGTGTAACTTAGATGTCGAAAGCAAATTGTGTGAATGTTCTCTGTCCGCAGTAAAATATGAAAACCCTTTATGTTTGTCCAATGCAGTTTCACCGACTAATACCCATCCCAAATGTAAGCAGTCGGCAGATGTTATCTGATCTACCCAGACTTTCCAGCATTTTTCACTTTTTACATAAGAGTCACTGTTGACGTGGTCGATAATATTGGTGCCTGCTTGGACGTTAGCGATAATAGTGTCAGAGACGGGTATACACTCTATGAAACTATGTAAGGAGAGCGCTATAAACAAAATCTCATTTACAGGGCAAAGGCATTGTGTCCCAAATAAAATTATTTTTTTCTAAACTATTCACTGAAAGAAATTGAAGGCAATGGTGCACCGTAAATATAAAGATTCTTGCTTCACTTACTCACACAAGTGTAGCTGATAGTCTGGTGTCTGCGACAGGGCTCTGTGGGGCCAGCGTCAGAACAGAAGCAGGCGAGGTCTTTGTATCCTTCCTCGGTTAACTCTTCGTCCGAGGAGTCGGACAAACAGCGCTTCCTGGTATTTACCTTTGCATTGTCATTGCAACCTGTGCGTTCTTCCTCCGACGATGTCCCAAGTATGGACTGTATCGTAAAGCTGGAGATCGGGGCAGGGGAACACTTTGTGATGTCGTCTTTGTTGCTCATTCTGCGTTCATAAAAAAAGGAAAGAAACTTACTTACAATCGCTTGCAGGCGTGTTAGGCGGCGTAAATTGTTGTGGCTTTGTTCTGCAGTCGTTTTCCCTGAGCATGCACTGGCTGAATGCATTCTCAGCGTCCCGTAAACCTGTATTGATCTGCTGCCGAGGCAGTGGCGTTGGCTGATTTGCATGTAGGTTTGAGTTGCTGCAGCCAATCAAAAACAGCAGTCAGTCCCGGAAATTTTTGAACTTTACACAAGCTGAGGGATGATTAGGTTAAGTCAAGACTTTGATTAATTGTTGATGTTTTGAGATGGTAAAAATAATTTTGCTTTGAAAGAAGATGATGCAATCGTGTGTGACAATAGATAGTGCCCCAATAGGCGCACGTGGTGACTCTGATGTGTTTAAAGTTTTACTGACCTATAGGCTGCGGTACAGGTCAGTGTGACTGTCTGGCCAGGTCCTCGCCTCGGAGAAAATTACTTATTGCTCCTTGAAAATCAGGACCGGGGCGACTCATAGTTAGGCGTAAAAAAAGATTGGTAGTTTCAGTTGGTAAATGACTTGTACCTGAGTTCTGGGGCGATGTTGCTTTTCGTGGGTTGAGTAGGTAGTGGGTGTGGGGTGCGGAGTCGCAGGAATCCGAATTTTCATAATCATGAAATGTTTTGAGTGATTTCCAAGGTAAACACGATTCGCATTGGAAATTAAATCACAAAATTCACCTTGTTTTTCTTACTGAAAGATCCAGAAAATCTCAAAATGGTGAACGTCTTCACTCCATTGTGTCAGATTTGACTTGGAGTTTATTGTAAGCTTTTCCGCGTTTATTTACAATGCAGGAGGGAGGATTGGTGGTGTAAGCAGTAACTAGACTGTGGCTGGAGCAGATAGCAATAGTGTTCCCAGCAACAAAAAATGGAATATGCTTCAACCTGGAAATCCGCGAAACCCTTATTTCTTAGATATAAAAATAAGATTGCAGTTGAGTTTTTATTTCACATTTGGTGGGGAGTGGGGGAGGAGGATCGTGATCTCATTTGAACTATTAATATTGTAGTGGAAAATGGTGAAAAAGTCAGCAAATAGCACAATACATTCGAGATTTGTAATTAGTCTGATTTCATGGCGAAGGTACTGTGACTGCATATCGAGACCCGTCACTAACTGATAGTTTGGATCAAATCCGGCTACCAGCCTGTGACTACCGGAATGGTTATATATAGGTTACAAATACTCTTAAACCAGTAACAAACTTTTGATGGATTTTCGTTGATGATAATTTCTGGTTGCTAAAGATGCGAATGGTGCCTATAAGTACTTACATCTTAGATGGTACTTAACCGAAGGCTGAATAAGCTTGGTCATTTTAGCCACGATCAAGTTTAGCGAAGTAACTACACATAACATTAGGGGCACTACTATTGAATGGGAAACTGGTCACAGTGGGCAAGTTTGGTTGAGGTTGAGTCATTTGAACGTCACCAAAGTCTGACTGCTAACTAAGGGGATAATTGTAAATTTGGTTCCCAATCTGTCCAGTGGTTTGAAGCTGGAAACAAGATTGGAGGAACTGAAGGATGCTTATTTTCCTTTTATGGTGGGTTTGGCATTGGAGTTGCGTTAACACACGGCTGAATTTATGAGTAGTTGATTTTGTAGTTTATAAAACGAAGGTTCAGTACGGCTAGAGGATCATGTACCAGGTACAACAATTGCATTGGAAGTACATTTCTCGGCGTCAGGCAGCATGGCGACGCCGGGCAAGATGCAATACGAGAACGCAACAGACATTCAACAAATTATTGATATGACAGGAGGAAAAAGAAGATAAACAACTTAGTAAACGGAATTGATGCTAGTATTTTAAAACTCGTCATTAGTATTCAATTGGACTATGATTACCAGTGGCCAGATACAGTTACTTGCCTTTCCTATTGGAATGGATGAGATTGAATAATTTATGTTAAATGAACCTTACTTTATGCTTGGATCGATGGTTAATTCGCCACGGAGATTATAGTGTTTTGGCCACTTCATGTTCCATTCCTGAGGTCAGGAAGAGAAGCAAACTAACTGGAATAAAGTTTCCGGAAGTTAAATTCCATAAAAGCATTTGAAGAAGCTGCATGTCTAGTTGTCGAAATAAAATTCCAGGCGTTGAACCAAATACAGATGAGCTGCTGGATATTTCTGGAATTGCATCTAATCTGTATTTAACAATTTATCAAAGAATATAGATTGCGCAGAAGTACACAAGACCAAGTGTATCAAGCATATAAAGCACATTTTTTAAAAAAAATCCACCTTATAATAAGTATTAAACACGATTTCTAATCACTATCACCGCGCTGTAAATGTTACTGACACTTTGCAGTCTTATAGAATAGCAAAGTCGTGCAACATTTGCAGCGGTTGTCAGAGACACAGTGAACAAAGTGTAGATGTTTTCAAATGCCAACAGACATGCAAATACCAGTAACACATATGTATTTGGAGCACATTGGACAGTCAGTTGATTAGTGAATAAATTAATCAGTTCTTTGATCGATGACAAAATTTCCAACACCCCAGCTAGATTAGTAGAGGTAGATGTACCATTAAGAAGTGGATTAATTTATGACTGTCTAATTGAATCCTGGGTTTAATTAAGGAACTCGCTGGTTAGCCGGTCACACACCTATCCCATAATCTGAGTATCTCCCATGTATGGATATGTGAACTATTAGAATAACACATTAACTGTACTGACCAGGCAGAGTTTATAGCATGACATGATTTTGAAAAATGATGGTAATGACAAGATAATAAACACAAGCTAGAATTTTGCTGATTAGATTTAAATCACTTTCGAGGTACATTAACTCCCCCAAAGTATCGCATTGCTGATTTGACTGGCAGTTCGGGTTTGCCTATAAACTTGCTGGATTGTCGAAAGATTAGCATGATCTCTTCTATTGATTATCTCTTTACTCGTGCACTCCTGTAAGCGTGAGATTAATTGAAACTAACTTTTGAGAAGGTTGCAAAGATCATAAAATTTCACTGATCTGACTTTTCTGATAATCAGAACTTTGACATCAGACTTGACTTTCATCCCAATTATATTCACGTTCCTTATAAATTATGGACCTTGGCGACTGTACTTTAGTGGATTGTCCCGAATCTTAACAGTTGCCAAAAAGCATCTCGATTCATAAATATACTTTGATTGTCATAGGTATAGGGCCTTGCTCCAAAAGCGAGTGTTGTTTATTACGTTAGATTAATTCCAATACAGCAGTATCTAATAAGATCGCCTCTTCAGGTATCATGTGTTATTTATAAATGTAGGTCCTGCTAATACTTTGCTTCTAAAACTGGAGCTTTCTGTATTAATCCTGAATCGATCTTATTGGAGTTCGACTTTGTTTACTTGATTATGGTGCTGGCTGCTGAAAGCTGATTGCGGAAAGGGCATGGTTAATTGATTGATTGACAGGGGCTGAGCTCTTGTCCTGCTCTGGGCGGCAGGTGTGAGAGCCCTGCACCGTTCTACCACATTAACCTTTTCATGCTTTCACGGGGTCGTGACACATTACAAATGGTCAGCTTTAATCATTGTGTCAGCTCGTTAACGTGGCGCGCCCTTGCAAACAGCGCTGCATGATCAGTCTTCATTCCGCTCACAGTCAGGCTCTGGGGCTGCAGCCAGTATTGAAACTACAAATAGAAATTGTAGCAGTCGCAGAAAGTTACAAACACAGCGTAATTATCCTCTGGGTTCCTAATGTGGACACTAAACATGGTTGCGATACTTCTCGTTGGGAGATCACACAAACTAGTCCAATTGATTTGAAATTATTTGGAACTTTCAAACAGTGTGATTTGTAATGTTAAACACATTTCGCCAAAGCAACGTTTCCATCTTTTCCAGAAGATAACAAAGATACATTCGCTGCAAGTATTGTATCGGGAGTGGAGTTACCGTTGCACCGTACGTAGCGCACTCTAGTTCCAATAGTATTGTACTTAAGCTAATTACGCCGTATGTAACTCCTGATAATTAAGTTTCCCTTCAAGTTACTCAACTAAAATCCAAATCCGTCGCCATATGTGCACAGGAGCAAACATTTTATCATGTGATATCTTGCCTACAGCTAAGCCGGGAACTGTGTTTGAATGGAGTTTGAAGGTAATAAAGATAAAGCGTGAAATCTATATTGGCGTATTAAATAGGCACATTTTGTGAACCTTAACTATTTAAAAGCCTCTTAAAATGCGCGCATCTGCTTAAAGAGAGCGCTTCAAATCCCCTATTTTGAAACGGGTTCGTCCTAAACCCAGTTCTGCTGTTTTATGTCCTTACAGCTCGTGTCTGTAGCACTTGGATGTGTTCTCTCCCTCGCCTTCCCCTGATATTTTCTTTTGTACTGTGGATAGAGGAAACCTGCCTAAACTGAAACTGCCCTGTAATCACTGCGAATGTATCACGCCTGTTAAGCGTTAAGCACAGATTGCAAAAGCACAGACAATGGATTCCTCCCTCCCCAACCCCCCCAAAAAGTATAGGGGATGTCAGGCGCGCATTGTTGCTAATGAAAATAGATCTTCAGTGGGTTTATGCTGCTGGAAAATCGCCTCCTGACCGCCTATAATATTGCAAAGGTTCCACCTGCAGTGACAGATGAAGTCATAAACAAGTTTGATCTGCGAATCAAGCTTCGATAAATATTAAACACAGTCCTTTTACACGTGTGTATTATGATGTATGGCGCGTCGAACTTTAAAATAAGGAAATTACCGAAGAAAATGATATCAATAAATTTTCTAAGTATAAACGTTGATTATGTTTCGATTTTCATTCAAAAGCTTGCTGTTCTTGGTACAAATGACATCTCACAACGGGCTGCAGAAAGCCTCCCTATTCCACGGGAGCCTGGAGGTGTACAATTTATGTAATCGGGGCTGGAAAATGAATTGTGTAATTTATTGGAAAACAGAAGTCATCGAGATTAGATCAGCATAGCCTATCAAAGGGCTACAATCCATCAAGTTCCAATTAACAACCTAAGACGCGTAAACCATAGAGCGTTAATGGGTTTCCAATCTACTGGACTGATAGACTCATCAATTCCTCGGGGATGAATTAAGAAAATCGACCGCCCCGTAGCGTGTAGTGTCATTCTTTTCAGCAACTATATGTCAAATTAAAAACACAATTAAAATTTAAACTGTTTCAATCAGAGGTGCCCTGCAACCTATGTTTCACTTAATAGAACTTTGATGAAAATCTGATGGTTACACTCCATCATTGAGGCGAATGGGACTCGGAGGTGCAACGGATTCTTTAAACTGCGTTTCTAAAAAAAATAGATCCGGGTGATGCTCGATCGGGCTCAAGTCTCACACCAGGTAGAGCAAGGTGCTATTTCCCAACTGAGCATTAGATACTTCAAAGCCGGTATTTACTTTGTCTATCTAATGATGTTGTTGTGCAGCATAAAAGAATCGAGTGTGAATCCTGGTTAATTACTGAGTCAACCTATTTGAGAGATGCCTTCACAAGAGACAAAATACATCCAGTGAATGAAGACATTCAGTTGAACTGCATTCGGACTTTGCTTGTTTCCAATATGATGTTTCCAAACATATAGTGAGTGTTCAGACAGCAAGTTTGAAGGTACCTTGGATATCATGTGCTAATTTTGACTCCCTTTTACCCCTCGTTGCCAACAACCCAAGGTCACAAAATTCCAAGAGCAGACGATGAACAATGCAGCTCATTGAAACAATATTTTACAGACATTTTGCGATCAATACGTACTAAAGCATAATGCTATGCCAATCTATTAATGCTCTTTAATGGCCCCTCGCAGAGCTTGCATCGTCCGAGTCGATACAGGAACGTGATTATCTCCAAGATACTTTGCAATTCGCCCCCCTTTTGATAAAATAAATACATTTTGCGTACACAAAGTTTGCAACCAAACATACTGACCTATCAGATGCCACCGATTTGCCCCCGGAAAGTCACTAAGTACAACTGAAAGTTCGGCACAGATTAATGCCACAATTAAACTGATATTTTGGACAGTTCAACGCAAATTAGTGCAGTTGTTAAACTGTGAAATAGCCGCAGGCCGCCGAAGCTGAACTGAGCTCAGCACATATGATCTGCATGGTGGTTCTGAATCCTGTTCTGGGGGAGTGATGGAAAGGTTATATCTGTTTGGAATGATTGTTGTGTTGGCTATACAAAAGTTTATTTTGCACCAAATAAAAGAAATACATGTGTGTATAAGGTACAAACATGACAGCGGCATGTCTGCAGCCATGTTTACTGATTTGAGCAGGGATGACGATGTATCAAACAAAAGCAGAGATTTGGAAACCGGAACGTTTAAGTGCAAAGCAGGGACTGTTCACATTCATGATGAGCCTTTGTACATATTGTGCCCCTGATTTCTGACAAACCACTCTGTGTAACAAAAGCGATCCTTTCTCTATATGCAAGCCAATGCGTTGAAAGTATGGCTTTAAAACATTACTGTTGTTCATATTTATCATAAATACATAAATTGCAATTTTTTTTACATTATAATGACGGTTGTTTAAACCCTGCCTAAATAATTATTCACATGCTTAGTGGGCATGAAACAAGCTTCAAGCACTCTTATGTTCTCTTAAAAGTAAAGTTCTGCCGAATAACGGAACAGCTAGTGTTCATATAAAAGCGTTTCTTGGATTACCATTGTGGTAAAGGTGCAAAGGCTTCTTAGCTGCATGTTCTGAGCAGAATGATTTCATTGATACAGGTTTGTGAAAGTGATTTTCAGAAGGTATTTTGCAATGCAATTTTCGCTCAACAGTAGTTGCCGATGAATTTAGGCATCGAGCGAGAAATTTATTTATGTGGGGGAATGATGAGAAGTAACATTAGTGGCTAAGATAGCGCTGATGAGAAGCTATCTATAACAAAAGCCAAGAAGATGAATGAAAGAAAGGCCTGAACAAGAAACGAGTCTACATTTTTCTGTCAAATATTTTATTTTGGATCAGTAACATTGTAGTGCCAATGGCATAAGAACAAGAATGGAAAGAAACTGATTCTTTTCCCGAAATTGTATGGACAGTTTGAAGAAATGCCAGTCTACTGTTGTGACTACAACGTGGAAAACTGAAATGCACCCGAACAGAAAGAACTTAGTAACCGCGAAGCGACAAAATTACTGAAGTAATAATATAATAATTTTGAAGAGGGTGGATTGCTGCAAAGCGTAAATCTTCCATATGAAATTATAGTTAATTGGTTTTAGCTCTATTTAAAATAATCGCATGATCAAAACTGTGATTGTATTTCATTATATTTCCACATTGTCTTAATTAACAAACAGATTGTAGTTCTACATAAATGTAGAATCCAATGAAAGAGGGCGCGTGGGGTGAATTACGCTAAGACAAAAAAAAATCCAACAATTGACTTTTTAATTTTTTGTATTTTATTATAAGTTGAATTGATTATTGGCGTGAAGCAGGTTTCTACAGGTTGGTAATGATTCGGTAGAACACAGTTATTGTGTCAGTAAAGCAGCATCAGTAACAGGGCACCACGCCTTTCTCGTATAAGAGCGTCTGTAAGAAAATGCTTCACAACTTGATCAATTTTAAAATGCTATCAACGTGCAAAATATTAAGTATAACCTTGTTTTTATCGGCCAGTTCTTGATAGAGCGTAGATTAGGTTGGACTAGGTACTTTTAGGACACTCAATATAAAGTAAAAGTACTTTTGTATATTTGCAGTCGCTGTTTTTTGTTGATTAAACGGTTGAATGTTTGCTGTATAAACGTCCCAAAAAGTTCATGCTGACACTGTTGTCATAAAGTTAGTATCGCCAACAATACAAGGCCCAATTTTGTTGTTACTTCATACAAGGAGCGACATATTTTGGCTTCTGTGTTATGTTTATTTTCAGCCACGATGCATAACAAATTAAAACACAATCAAAGGCGCACTCCTTTTAGCGCTCTGACACTTGTGAATCATCTGACAGCTCTGTTGACAGCTTTCACGCGATAAACCAACAGCAATGCTATCTGAAAATCAGAACACGACGCTGCTGGTTTCTTGGATGTCAACCATAAAAATATACACGGAATAACCTCGAGTTGTTCATCTGTAAAGGACTTTAACTGTGACCTTCTGTAAAAATGGGAATGGTTAAGATATATTTTCAGTATACAAGAACCGGCACATATCTGTACGTTCAATGGTTTGCTGAAAGCAGTTGGTCTGTACTTGATCGAGCAACGGCATTTGATCAGTTTAAAGCTCTCATTTAAAAGACCACGTACATGTAGCAGTTTCACTTAATAATAAAGAACTGTCATTTAGCGTAAAGTTTTATTATTTAATTATTAAATAGATCCTTATCCGGTGTGTGAACAACCACTTACCAGGTGAAATGCACCGTGACTGGCCTCTCCAGCTACTGCGAAATATATCTACAGGTTATAGCTGTATTTGTAAATAGTCTCAGCGTAGCAAACCCTTGGAGAATCAATCAGTCCTCCCAATATTCTTCACTGTCAATTAAAGGGGCGTTTGAAAAATAAAGTTTTGTTCGGTTTCACAGCACTTTCCTAAGTTGTGTTACAGTTAGTTTAATTAAACTCTGTCTGAGATTTCAATGCTATATCGCCAGTGAAGGGAGACATTTAGATGTGATTGTTTTGCGAAATGTGACTCGCCAAATAAACGAGAACCTCACTACACCGAACATGAAATAGAATACACCCTGTATCAGATAATAGTTGGCTAAGAATGCTTCAGGATAATTATATAAAAGCTGAGGTGGGATTTCTTCTGCCAAGTGGAATAACGTATTCCCCAGATTGGGTACGCATAGTGTAAAATATCCATCCAGCTCGTTTCCCGCTAAATAATTATGTCCGCAAGCATGGACGCCATGAGAATTTACTTTTCAGCTGATCGTGTTTTGATACCTGCAAATAACATGTTGTTTTTGGCTGCTAGTGTTGTTATTCATACTTTATTAGCAAAACAGCATCTCCCTGTTTCTTGAGTTAATGTTTGTACGAAACTACACATTTTAGTAACAAGGACTGCTTATATTTTATTTTAGTTCACAACAAGTCTGTTCAACAAAATTCGGCATTACAATATCAAAAACGCAAGTATTTTATTTCTTTTTTGTCTAAAACATACAGAACACCCATTATTCTCGCAGTAAATAACTATGTTACATCTGGTGGAATAATCAGAAATAATAAACGGAACAGTAATATTTGAAAAAAATTAGAAATTTTATCTTTTGACCTCTGTCAATAAATTTACAATCCAGGTAAATTAAGATACGTTGTCACCACATAAACGATACATTTATTAAATAAATAAAAAGAACCTTAAATATTTTTTTTCTGATTGTCCTTCAGTTAAAGCGCCTTGACATTCGAAACTTGATAGCGTCCAGAATCGCTACTCGTCACACGTTATTCCAGTTTATACCAATATAAATTGGGTTTCAACTTGCAATGATTTTTCTCTAAACTCCAAAACAGTGCTTTAACTTCTATAGTACAATATTGCACAGATACGTGAAACCATAATAAGGAACAACATTTTCACCACTCCTTTTAAGTACTTACAAAAAGACATTTACAGCAGATCCTCTCAAAACTACATGGCTTGATCTTACAAAAAGGAATTGGTCAAACAAAATGAGAGTAATTGATAAACCCAGACTGGCCTTTAAAGGGGTACAGCTGAAGTTAAACGAAGTGAACAATGTAGACATTTACATCTGGTCTTCTTGTGATTCGTTGCTTCAAAACTACAATGTCTAATCTTACAAAAAAGTAATAACAAGTTAAATATTAAAATAAAATCAGACTGGCCGCAGGAGGGGTACGGATGTGACTACAGGATGTGAGTAATAGGCTGGATGTGGGAATGTTAGTAAAGGCTGGGTGACTGGTGCGTTACCAGGGCTCCCAGACTCCGAAGCCGAGTTCTCATGGTATAAGATAGGCACCCGAACTATCCTTTGGGCCGCGTGGCTCATGTTGGCCGCTTCCAGTTCGGCAGCCAGCTGCCTTTTCCACTTATTTCGGCGGTTCTGGAACCAGATCTTCACCTGGGTCTCAGTCAGGTGGAGAGAGGCGGCGAGCCCCGCTCTCTCTGAGCTGCTCAGGTAACGCTTCATGTCGAAGGTCGACTCCAGCTGGAAAACCTGACTCCTTGAGAAAACTGTGCGAGTTTTCTTCTTCCTACACGGCTTTCTCTCGGGACTTTCCGCCCTCTTTTTCCAGTCCTCACTGTTATTATCTTCCTTCTTTTGTTCCTCCGCGTCGCTCGATTCCTCCAGTACGATCTCTTCCAGGCTTTTGGCGTCTTCCTTTTCTTTGCCGTCCGGCTCGATTTTGAGGGCCGGCTCGGGAGAGTCTCTGTCCGGAGAGGAGTCTCGGGCACATCCGCTGCTTTTCTCGACAGCTAGCAGGATAGAAAAGCACTATCATTAGACACGCTGCAGGCCACAGCTATGAGAAGACAGGACAATCAGAAAGGAGACGGTGCTTAAAGATCACTTACCTTCTGTCCGCGGGAGATGCACCCCGGATGTGAGTGTGCAGGGGTACCACCAGGCGGGGGACCTCTCCAGATAGTGCGCCGGCAAAGCAAATCTCTGCGCTGGGAGTTCAAACCTGGGGAAGCCGGGCTCCCTGCAGTGAGGTAAGGAGAAAGTCGTGCCCTCGACCACCCCTTTCACCGCCGACAGCAAAGTCTTGGGCTTTGACGGCTTTCGATCACAGTTCAGCAGGTTTTTGATGGAGAAGGAGGACTCTTTAGGCGGGATGGGATTCTCCTGCGCTGCTGTCTCGGGCATGGCTGTTTGACTCCGAACAGACACTGCAGGTACCGTGCAGAGGCTCGGGCAAGAAAGCGGACTGAGTTGTTCAGAATCCCGGGAGTTCAGAAAAACGCACCAAACTTTTGTATATGGGGACAGTGGAACTCCACAGCAATTTGCAACAGAGTCGGAGGCATTCAGCCTCAATCTGGCGCCAGATGATAATGATGAAATAAAAATGTCATACAAGTTAAATGCAGAAAGTATACGGCGATTGGGCACGCACAATGGCAAATAGGATTATCGAAGGAAAAAAAAGAATGGCATGTAATGAGTCCACCTCCCTATACTTTGCGCTTCGCTTAAGGCTATAAGAGCTCGCCTGTTATTGGCTTTATATAGTCCAATTAGGCAGCAAATGAGGACGAGACTAATACCACAAAAGAAACTCGTCCTGTAAACCACCACTAGACGAGCAGTAGGCAAATGACTTACTCCTGTCCATTGGCACAAAACGCTGCTTCATTTCCATCTGGAGGGGAAATTTGTTTAAAGTGCCCAGGCTTTTCCTCCTCTGTCACTTTGAGCGCCTTGGTTTGTGCCCATTGAGGCAGCGCATTTTACAATGAGAAAACAAAACAACCTGGTTTCTATAAATTGGTTACTTTCCAGGCTTTGTCTTTATTTAAAGGCTAGTTTCTATCTTGGCTGAATGGTGTAATAACAGAAAATAAAGCTACTCCGCCTATGAAGCGGCCAGATTCGAAAAGAGATGTAGGCAGTATTCCATGCGGTTTTGAACAGAGACGTTCAGTTTGTGAGGTTTTCGTGATAAAGTGTTATATGCCAGGGATATATGGCACATTAAAACGCGATTTTATGAAGTGTAGCACTGCAAGAAATAGCAATAATTTTATTATGGAAGCAAGCCCAATTTGTATATGAAGATTTATAAGTAGAACGGATATGCTGTGACCTCAGATTGAAGCTGAATTTCGCATATGTCATTTTAATGTTATATTGTATTTCTCATGAGTTCATTTAATAGAGACAAACCATTTTCACTGTTTGCCTGACTTTAACCTCCACTTCGCCAGCCCCCCTCCACCCCTCCCAACTCACAAATATCTCGAAATGCTTGTGCACATTTACTTCCTAAAATACAAGCAGAAAGGACTCTAATATTTTTCAAGTATTATTTCTGGCAAAGCTTATAACCCAATGGAAGTTAGTAGATTTAATTTAGTAATTTTATTAGTTAATTTAGTAGAAGAGTTGAAGAAGGTGACATATTTTGTCAGTAAACGGGAACAATTTTATATTAAGCTACCACTTAGATATAACATTTAGTTTTGGTGAATGTCAACTGAGGACTGCCTGTTTTGATTATTATTATTCTAATTTATACAGCTGCAAATCTCACGACAGACCTTTTATTCTACACAGCGCGCCAACACGGTTTGGTTAACGACATAACAGGGTGTTGCATGGGAATTCGATTGTATTTGCTTTGAAATCTTTAATTAAGGCTTTCATTTAGTTTATCTATATTTTCATATTACAAATGCGTTTCCTTTACGTTAACGGTGAATACAGCAGTGTTTGTATTACTTACATATTTACATGACGCTCCAGAACTGTAAGCAGATACATGTCGTCAATTTGCAGTTTGGCCCGACAGTACATAATAGACAATGATTGCTACAGTCCAGCTCTTATCTATAATTCAGATAATTTATACCACTGACGAACATGCCAACACATTGGGAAGGGTGAGTGTTGAAATTGAAATACCCATCATCATTCTCTGCATATAATTTGCAACCTACGGCCTTTGCTGTTTACCCAATATTACATTTCGTTTCATTCGGCTGAATGATAATATGCATACCTTAGTACCATTCCACAGATTACTACGCTGTATCTTACTGTAAACGGCCAGACTAGTGTACCAGGTATTTGCCGTTGACTCTTACATTTCATTACTGGCATCTACAACTTGACAACGTTTTATCTTTCAGCACCTATTACAATTACATCATTGTCCATTCTGATAGACGCAAATTAAGCAATACTACGCGCCATGATACCCAGAAAACATTTACTCAAATCTATTGGGAAAATGAATCATGGGTGCACCACTTTATATATAAAAATACATGTTAACGATTATACAGGGCAGTAAAGGTAGCTGTTGCAAAGATAATTACAACTACAATGCAATACCCCACGGGCTGCAGCGTAATTCATGATTTGCATTTACAATTAATTTGCCTTTCAAAAAGAGAATCACCTGCACGCACAGAAGGACTGTTGTGTTTATAGTCATTGTAAAAAGGACTGGACTTACTTCTAAAGTTTGAACCTCATTACGCCAACGCTATAAAGCTCCTTTGTTCTACAATATTGCATATTTGCCTGAGAACTGAAATATAGTCAAGGCGACTGAACGCGATTGTTTGGATGATTCTATGCGGCGGGGGGGGGGGGGTGCTGCAAGATGGGTGGCAAACCAGTTGGTTGTTTAAAGGCACCTGCTGAATGATCGTATACATATGTGTAATATCCATGGGTACTCAAATGGAAAGCAATGTACATTTTCTCTTTCAGACAAATCTAAAATAGACGCCATCAAAAGGGACATGCAATGGATGAAGTTGTAGGAGAATGATCCAAATAATGTTCGAAGTAGGACTTTTAAATGAAATGTGAATATGTTTGGAGTTTCTTCTGATTGATGCCTTCCTAGATTAGAATTAGAATTACTCCATTAGTACTATTGAACACCGCAGTCCCTCATTCAAAATTCGGCCAGTAACACCACTCCCAGAAAGGTTTGACATCAAAACATGAATCTCAGTTTGTGTAGGCACATGCAGATGACTTGAGCAGATTTTCCTTAGAATCAGCCAAGTAATAGATTTTGCCTTTGTTATCCTTTGGGAACTTTTCCATCGTCTCTTTATATTATAGTTGAATTAATATTCATGATGATAGGAAGTAGATAGGATGCAACACCATTAATTACATTAACAACAATTAATGTGTGATAGGGTCAGGCTAATTGATACAATTATGTGGAATAACCAGTGATAATGAAACTAAAATCGGAGTGCCCTTATGTGTAACGAATGCTATAATTTCTATAATAATTACCAGTTTTTGCAGACCAAAAAGCGAGTCTAGTTTAAAGTTTTAATTCAAATGGTCCAGCAACTTTAATACATTTGAGATGCTAAAGATGTTTAAAAATATTATTCTTATCATATTCACCTACATTATCTAGGCCTCGCTTTCTTAGATTCCATGTCCCCATTGTTCATCATGTCTTTAATACTTTAAATATCTTATTAGTGAATTATCTTATCAGATGTTTGGAACAGTGCTGCGATATCAAATGGCTCAAGTAGAGTATATAATAGCTGTTTTGCACTTTCAAAGACAATAAATACAGTATTATTCTTCTCTTTGTCAGTTTGGCAGCGGTAAACAGATTAACAGCAATGTAAATAGTGCCTTTGAAGATACATGCATATATTATGAAAGACTGATGATTGAGATAAAAGGCTGCTCTCACGAGACAGGTAAATGTTCATTCATGATACTTTGAATCACCCCGACTCCTGGATATATTTTAACGGTTCAATTTATGAAGTCTCTGTACTTTTCTTCCACCACATATTACTTAAAGGAATTCGTTCCCTTCCTCATTTACCAAAGCAATATTTAAATGTAAGGATAATACAAAGTTCCCCAAATCACACCAAAGTCTTCTATTTGAAAATACGATTCATAAGTGCTGTCGACGAAGCCACAGTAAATTCACGTATAGACCAGAATTCTGCAATCATCAGTGTACTGCAACCAAAAAGTTAGACAAAATTTACAGTGACTTTTCCGAAAACTTGGCTAAACGTTTGGGGCTTGGGTATAAAATCGTAATCATTACCCAAGTGAATGAACTGGATATTTATTATTAAATATTGTGCAAATATTGCAGCAGTACTCAATCCATAAATTAGACGGTCATGCTTAAAAGCATCATTAACAAACTTTGATTCAGCTTCTTTTTGAATGCGGCAATCAGTGGTTAGAACAATCTATTGGACATCTAATTTGGACGATGTGTTTCTTTTTACACGGCCAGCTTATTAATTACATGACTTTCACTAAAGGAATGCATTGTTCTTTCTGATGCTGCTTGGAGATCATCTTCGTCCCTCTATTGTGTTACACACTGATTTTTTTTTGCTGCTAATCATTTCCCTTCAGGTTATGAGAAGACAGATCAGAGAGGTACACCTTTAGAGGTCTTAAAACAACCCCTGAGGAGAAGACATCAGAAACCGCGAACATGTCCATCAGGGCAGTCAATCTCTCTGACAGCAGATACTTATCATCAGGGAGCTCCTTTGTAATATGAAGTCTTGAAACAAGAGATAAACGAGCTGCTTGATACTTTAGGTGTTGTCCCTGAATGTGGAAGACTTATATCGTTTTAGGGAATGATTCTTTTTTCCCTCTTGTTTTTCAGTTTCTTTTTAAAGAGATGACAATCATGTCACTAGACAAAAACAGAAGGAAGCCAAAGGCAATTAACCTTTTGTCTGCTGCAGAAAGAGCAGTGAGAGTTTGAAACCACACTTCGGAATTCTATTTTTCTTCGGTGTCGTGTGAGCAGGGTTATCTGGGCGAAACTCTGCCGTTTGGCATAATCGTTCTTTCATGACTAGGGGATAAGTTACTTCTTGTGGCTGGAAACAGAGCAGTTTGGTGGGGAAATACACCATTAATTCTCGGAGTTTAAAGTTATGTTATGAATGTTAAACCCTTAACTTTCCTCATCTGGTTGATGAAGCCATTCACGAGGGTTGTGTTCCGGAACAAGTATCGTCACTTTGGCGAAGAAATACGACAGATGGGAGTGCTTGAGTGATTCACAATTAACACAGGGTTGTGTGCTGAACGTTTTTTGTACAGCACCCCCTGTTGATAAATATGATCTTTATCACCAGTACTTTGCAGGTCAACGACAC